GGACATGTTATAAGGAGAGACCGGTCCTTGGAGAGGGACAACATGCTTGGTAGGGTGGAGGGACAGCGCAGGAGGGGAAGGCCCTCTATGACGTGGATTGATTCAGTGACTGGGGTAATCGGGATGGGTGTATCAGAGACAATGCGATTGGCACAGGACAGAGCAGAGTTTAGGGCTGTTTTACATAAAGTCGCTATGAGTCACAAGTGATTCGACAGCACATAATAACAATAAGAAGTAGTGTATAAAAATTGAACTATTTCTAAATTGAGATCACAAATTCCATCCTAAGAGTACCAATCAGCTTAAAGGAAAGATGTGACTAAACGGGAAAGTACATACCTCACCTAAAAATTTTCAAATTCCATTAGGAAAAACAATCAACCAACCAAAATTATTTCAAATTTACAATCTCTAGGATTGTAAAAAAAAATTTGTTTCTGTTATCTATCTTTCTAATGTTAGTCAAAATATATATGGTCAATGTGAAAATAAATTAAGGAAATAAACAAGTGCTTCTGTAAAGATCCCTAAGATACACAACAAGCAGGCTTAGTGGTAAGCAGCCATGCTGCCAATGCAATGGAAGGTGGTTCAAATCCACCAGCTGCTCCATAGGAGAATGATGGGCAACTCCTCTCACATGATTTACAGCCTCTGAAAAGTCTCTGGAGGGTCAGCTATGAGTCAATTCCAACACACAACAAGAGACATAGTGTAACTACAAGGAGATCTCCACAATTTAAACAAAAAGCACATGTTGGTATCATTTTAGCGAGAAAGGCAAAAGGTAAAAAAAATCTATAGAGTCTGCAAAAGAACTCAAAAATTCAAAAATAAACATCTAGATCATAAAGCAGTTTCCCAAGGTGTCAACAAGGCAATTCAATTTTTAAAATGGAAGCAAATAAAGAAAATTATTACAATCTTTAAAAAGTAATACTAGGTACCAAAATGCCTTTTATTTTTTTTTCTTAAAACAGCATCATGATTTTGAAATATGTAAATAGGGACCCTTATTACTGAAATCTTATGAGTGCTAATTGCCAAAACACTCGTCACTTCTTATTGAATAGCACTTTTCTTGAATCTTAGAAAGTATGAAATAGAGAAACTTCAACTATCATTTTATGAGATGAAAGCCATCTTCATATAAAAATGCCAAATGCAAGGAGAAAATACAAATAATTTCATTTCCTCAACTAAGCATTTACTCAAATCTGTTTCTAGTATATAAAATAGAATTTTCATAAATATAAATATATTACCTCCTGGACATCCTCTGGATTTCTTCGTGAAACAACCTACAAGAAAACACAAAAATATTTTGTTACTACAAAAATTTTAAGTTTTTCATGTACACACCTATGTTTATCGCAGCTTTGTTCACAACAGCAAGGAGTTGGAAACAACCTAAGTGCCCATCAACAAACGAATGGATAGAGAAACTATAGTATACTCATATAATGGAATACTACGCTGCATTGAAAAACAAGGAACTCATGCAATATTATTCAAAATGGGTGACCCTGGAGGATATTATGCTGAGTGAAGTATCTCAGTCACAAAAGGGCAAATACTGCATGGTGCCACTGTTGTAAAACAGGACTGACCTCGGGGTTGGGGAGAGACTAAGAAAGATGGGTTCAATAATGTATACTGCAATGAAATAGATGAGGGAGAAAACTGTTTAAAAGGGATATGTGATTAGGCATTTCTATCATGACAGGAGTCCAGAACAAAGGCTGTTTAGTGAAATGGACCTAGGGGGGAGGGATTGTAAAACAATGAAAGAATTTTTCTTTTACTTTTCAAAGAGAAGAGTGAACTGGGTAGAGAGGGGTGGGCAGGGAGAAAAGTGCAACAATGAACGAATGGAATAAAAAAATTTTAAATTTTTCACATTTCTAGAATTACTACTCTCATATTTGTATTAAAAATTCATATAATTTGTTTTTAAAAAACCCACAGTAAATTACTTACACAGAATTCTACCACATAACTTTACCATCTGAAACATGTATTAAAAATTCAACAACATAGCAGCTAAAGTCAAGTACACATGTTAAAATTCATTTGTTACGCTCATAAGAAAATGCCTCAGGCTTTGACTCTTAAGCAATTCCAACAAGTAAGTAGCCCTTTCCCTGCCTAGTAAATAAATCAGAGTAATAAAAAGCTGCAGGCCCTGGGCAAAATATTTGGGGAAAAAAAGAAGAGTATTATATCTTGAAATTGTATGTGAATCTATAATTGTTGTTAGGTACCTTCAAGTCTAGTATGAGTCAAAGCCACCCTATGAACAACATATCTGCACCCTGTCCTATCCCATACCATCCTCACAATCTCTGACACACTTGAGCCCACTACTGTAATCACTGTGTTAATTCACCTAGTCAAGGACCTGTCATTCACCTTCCCTTCACCTTCCCAAGCATGATACCCTTCTCCAATGAACAGCCTTTCCTAGCAACATGTCCAAAGTATAGGAGCCAAAGTTTAATCATCTTTGCCTCCAAGAAGAACTCTGTCTGCACATTCTCCAAGACATATCTGTTTGTTCTTTTGCCAGTCCATAGGATAGTCAGTACTCTTCTCCAAGACTACAGTTCAAAGGCATTAATTCTTCTGTCATCCATATTCACTGTCCAGCTCTCAGCAGCATAGCAAATGACTGAAAAGATCATAGCCTGTATAAACTGACATCATTATTCTTCAAGTATCTGGAGAGGTCCCTGACAGCAGACTTCTCCAGTGCAGTAAGTCTCCTGATCTCATGACTGCTAATATCAAGGATGCTGAGTGTGGATCCAAGTTGGATAAAGTGACTGATAGTTTCAATTGCTTCTCCATCTATCATGATGCCACCTGTAAGGGTCAATGGTGAGAATTTCTGTTTCTTGACACTGACATGCAATCCATATTGAAGGCTGTAGTCTTTAATCTTCTGCAGCATGCCCTTTAAGTCTCTCTCACTTTAGCAATATTGTGTCCTCTGCATAACTCAGGTTACTGATGAGTCTTCCTCCAATCCTGATGCCACATTCTTCATAAAATCCAGCTTCTCAAATAATTTGCTGAGCACACAAACTGGATAGGTAAGGAGAAAGAATACAACCCTGATATAATCTTTCCTAATTTTAAACCATGCAGAGTTCCCTTGCTCTGTTCTCACAACAGCCTCTTAGTCTAGGTAAAGGTTTTGAATGAGACCAATTAAGTGTTCTCAGAATCCCATTCTTTTCAATGTTAGCCATAATTTGTTATGATCCACATGGTCAAATGCCTTTGCATAGTCAAGAAGCACAAATAGACATTCTTCTGGTATTCTCTACTTTTAGCCAGGATCCATCTGACATCAGCAATGATATCCCTACTGCCACAACTTATTCTAAATCCTGCATAAACTTCTGGAAGTTCCCTACCTATGTACTGTTCCTTCCATTTTTAAATGATCCTCAGCAAGGTTTTGCTTCCACATGATATTAATGATATTGTTCGATAATTTCCACATTCTCTGGATCATTCTTGGGAATGGGGACAAATATGAATCTCTTTCAGTCACTTGCCCAGACAGCTGTCCTCCAATCTTCTTGGCATAGACTGGTGAGCACATCCAAGGCTGCATCTGTCATTTGAAACATATCAACTGGTATTCCATCAATAGCTGGGACCTTATACATATTTTTTTTAATAATAAAGAAATAATGTTTTATTTTTAGATACCAGAATTGAAGGAGAACCATGATCTAGGCATCAAATCACTACAGTTTACAGAACATGCACATTTAAAAGATAATCTCTAATAAGAGTGCTTTTGCAATTCTATATTTTGCCAATCCATTCAGTGCAGCTTACACTTATTCCTTCACTACCATATGGTACTTTCTATAATCTATAATTAGCTCAATAAAAGTATCAATTAAACAAAGTAGCTGCACTGTTCAGCTGTAGCAATACCCATGAAAATGTTCACTACCAAACAATGATGAAAACAAAAATAACATAAAATTTTACACATGAACATTCAGAGATAAATAATCTTTCAATCATTATTCCCAAAATGGAGAGAAAAAGAGAGGTGGGGGAAGGCGTATCTTCTCATAATACAAAGCCCAAAGCTGTACAAAAAGAAATACTCAAAATTTTTTAAATGAAGTTGGCTGGGTGTTTAAAATTATCAAACAGCTTGAGGAAACCAGAGGTACATCTGTGCCGTTGGATTTAACCTGGACTTTGACTAATTTAGGAATTGTGCCTTGTTGATCCGGCTTGAGACTGCTGAACTAAGCCTGATCTCGTATTGTGTGATATTCTTTGCCTTCCCTTCTCCCCAACATAGTTCCCTAATAAACCCCACAATTGTGGGGGAAAAAATTTCTCAAACAGCACTGCAGAGCTAGACAATCTCATGAGATATATAATATGTAAATATATATATGTAAATATAAAATTGGCAAGCTTGAGCTACAATACACATTTCACAAAAACAAAAGGATACATCAAAGATCTAAGATGTCCACCGGTAGAGGGAAGAAATTAGTTGGTCTCTGTACGATATATTATAAACTAGAGATGACATTCAACTCATTGATAATCCTGAGGTTTGAAGAAAAATTTTAAAAATAAGATGTGAATTCATTAAAATAAAACAAACAAAAAATAAGAACACTTAGGGAGCTCTGATGGCTTAGTGGTAGGCATCTGTACTGCAATCAGTAAGACACACAGATTGAATCCACCAGCTACTCCACAGGAGAAGTATGAACAATCTCCTTGTTTGAATAACTACCTCTCAAAACTCGCAGAGGGTCAGCTATGGGTCAGTTCTGAGTTGGTGACCCACAATAATAAAGTCAAACAAACTTTGGTTCAAATTAAGGCTACATGCAAAACCTATACCTAGACGAGAAAGCTGTTGTCTGAACAGAGCAAGAAAACACTGAATGGTTCGAAATCAAGAAAGGAGTACATCAGGGATGTATTCTTTCTCCACTTTTTGTAATCCATATGCAGAACAGATCATTCAATAGGATAGACTTTATGAGGAAAAATGTGGCATCAAGATTGGAGAAAAACTCATCAATAAACTTTGATATGCATATGACACAATCTTGCTTGCGAAAACTGGGGAGGGCTTGATGTGTTTGATGCAGACGAACAAGGACTACAGCTTCAACATGGATTGCATATCAACATCAAAAAGACAAAAGATCCTTAACACTGGGCCAGTAGGCAGTATCCTGATAGATGGAGAAAAAATTGGGGTTGTTAGTAATTTCACCTTGCTCGAATCCAGAATCAATAATCTTGGCATCAGGAAATCATAAGACAAGTTGCATTGAGAAAATTTGTTGTAAAAGATGTCTCTAGAGTAATAAAGAACAACGATGTCAGTCTGGAAGCTAAGACATGCCTGATGCAGGCCATGGTCTTCTCAACTGCTTGCCATGCATCTGGGAGCTGGGCAATTACTAAGGACGACAGAAGAAGAATTGATGTCATTGAGTTGTGGAGTTGGAAAAGAGTATTAAACATACTATTTACTGCCAAGGAACAAACTGCCCTATCCTAAAAAGAGTAAAACCAGGTTGCTCCTTTGGATATGTTGCCAGGAAGAACCAGATCTTGTAGAAGGATCTCATGCTTAGAAGGGTAGAGGGTCAGCACAGATGAGAAATACCCTGAATGAAACGGCCTGACACAATGACTGGCAATGGCGTCAAGTATGTCATGTCACAGATGGTGGGTTGGCTCAGGATAGAAAAAGGTTCAGAGCCACTGTTCAGAGAGCTGGAGCCAACTTGAAGGCATATAAGAACAACAAAGTACAGCCTTAATCTCCTCTATAGAGTGGAGATAGTACGAGCTGTGTGGCTTATCTGTTGCAGAGAGAAAGTGAAAATATAAGGAGAAAAACCCTTGTAATTAAAAAGTTAGCTTCTTATTTTCCCTACCAGAGTATTCTGCTATTCTAAAAGAACTCACCAGAAAATTCCAAAGAGGAAAGTATTCCAATTTCTTACTATTCTATCCTCCAACAGTGATAAATAAATCTGTTGAAATCTCCTAGCAATTTTCATTCATTTAAAATGATGCTGTCAATAAAATTTGTTGTAAAGATGGAAAGAAAAGTTCTCTATCTGCATTGTTCAATATAATAGCCACATTCTTAAATAGTCACATTCTGTGTGTGTGTGTGTGTGTGTGTGTGTGTGTGTGTGTGTGTGTGTGTGTTATTTATTTAAGAAGTTCAGGCCTTGACTGCATATTTCCACAGTGGGTACAGGCGCTCTTTTCACTG